GCTCAGAATGCAAAAAATAAATCAATTATAGAAGAATATGAAAAGGGACTGGAATGCAAGAAAAATCGCAAATTCCAGGCTAGATGCATCCAAATAGCTAAAGAAATTATTAATGAGGAATCTATGATTGAATATCATCCTTCTTTCTTGAATGGATTAGAGCTTGATACCTTCTTCCAAAAATATCAAATTGCATTAGAAGTACAGGATGCTCAACATCGGCTTCATAACACTAGCTGGTATAAGGATGTCAAAAAACTTGAGGACATCGTTAATCGTGATCGGCAAAAACGATGCATATGTCAAGATAATGGAATTTCCCTCCTTGAAGTATGGTATGATGAAAAACCGGAAATCGTTATTCCTAAAAGGATCCAAAAAATTAAGGAGTTTGTTTGTTTAGCATCCAAAAGTTTTAAATCAATTTCTTATTTTTTCCACACCTCAATCCTAATCTATTATGAGAGCCTGGAATTCCGTATTCTGAGAATAACATTCTAAAACAGCCTATCTCTTTGAATTATGTTCTTAGTTTCTAGATGAAAACATAACAGTATTAACGCCCACATCGGGTTACGTATAAATCGATCAACATTCATATGGCTTGTGGCGCAGGAACTTCTGTCGTCATTCGTGATCATAGACGCGGTATATAAGACGTCTTCTACCAAATGGTGCACAACCCGAATATCCGACACTTCATTTGTTTCTTCAAAATTTTTAACTTATTCTCTATTACAAAACTAAAAAAAAGATGTCCGACACTCCTGAACTATATGTTGGTTACAATGGTAAGTTCTATAACTTAAAATCTGGCTTTAGTAAAAATTTATTTCAATTTCTAATCAATATTTAACTTCTTAGCTTTGGTTTCCTATTTACGAAAGCATAAAAACAAGTCGTACTGCAATTTCCTTAAACTTAATCGGGATGTTATAGTTGTTTCTTTATCTTCAAGTTTTAACTCTCTGGACCTCGACAATTCTTGGGTTCGACGGTTCTTGGAAGAAGCAGAAAAGATGCTGAGTGAAAAAGAATTTACTGATCTGAAAAAAAAGGTGCGTCTTTTATTTTGCAAAGTCGGGTAACTTCTAGTCGACGCCCGGTCTGGATTACTGGGCTTTGACTTAGGAGAATTACTGTATTTGACAGCTTGGTATCCACTCCAAGTCCTCAATACAGGCGCCATAACTTTGTTGTTAATAAGAGTCTACTGGTTCCGGTGGAGGAACCGGTTATGTATCTTTTTTTTATTACTAAATAAAAGGTTGCACTGCTAATATCATTACTTCCATGACAGGTAAAATCGGAACGACAACGGATGACATCGTACTGGGAAGGAATTATTGAGGAATGTGGAAAGGCGAGTAAATATATTATATATATTATGAAACACTTGTATGTTGGTTAATATATAAATTCACTAAGCTAATCATACTAACAAGTGACAACTCACAGTTAACTGATGATACTCCCAACCCAGTTTCTAAAAAAGTTCATAATCTAAGAAAAAGAAACAATGTAGATTATAATGAAACTCGGATGGCTAAAAAGGTTATAATGAATGTAAGTGTTGCTGATTCTTATTAACACTATACTAGCATTTCGGTTACTTTGACTAAATTAACCTAAAATTCTTTTTTTACAATCTTTGATTTAGGTGAGAAGTCAATCCACTCAGTCTGCCCGATCTGCAAGTGAAGAAGTGGTCATCGATAATAACGAAGCCGAAGTTGAACAAATTGATGATCTTGCCAATTTCGATCTCACTTACCGTAATCTTGACCCAGAAAAAAATGTGGACCCTTAAGTCTGGTCGAGTTGTCGAGAAAGTGATTTATGAATATGCAAGAGAACTGAAGTATGAATCTTACTTACATTCATTTATAATTAGCGATATTGACAAAGAAGCAAGGTCATTGTTTCGAAATGAGGAGTGGGAAGAAATTTTTTCTTCAGCCTGCAAAATAATGCCAAAAATCGACAAATCAATCATTGACCTAATGATAAAATACTCGACAACCGGGATATCTCTATTTCGAGATATCATCTTCGAACCGTTTATAGGCGCCTCATATTCAAAACAATATTTTGATTTGAATTATGTCAATCTCGCATACCGTGCTATGCACATTCTCTGGGAAAAAGAGCACGATTTTATACTAGATCAATCAAGACTAGAAGGCTGGTACGAACATAATATATGGAGCCATCTTATCGATCCTGTGTTTCACGATTTAGAAATTGAGTTGGTACGTGGAGAGGGCATGAGTTTATCTTCCAGTGATCGAAAGAATGATGAAGATCAGAATAGTGAAGACCGAAAGAAGATTGGGAGAAAAGGGGATGGTATTTTTAGGATGGGTAAGGATAGGTTGGAATTCGGAGCGATTGAAGCAGGGAGGAAGTGGGAGGAGTGAACGGAAGAAAATACATTACAGATAGCTTAAAACTAAGTAGGATGCTCCGAGACATGCTAGTTAAGCTTATAATGGCATTAAAAGGAAATGAACAAGAAATGAGGCAGTTACAGACCGTTGGAATTCTACATAGTGCCAATCGATTCCAGCTACTTATCATGGACATTCCCAAGGGTTATATCTGTAGGACAAAACGCCTTGACTTTCATGAAGTAGCTGGCCGAATAAATGATCCACCATTAGCATTCGTAATAAAGGACATATTAAGAGCCAAGGCAATCATTACACGGACATTGGAGTTGGTGAAACAAGGAAAGTCACCTAATCTCGATAGTCTTTATGACTCTGATGATGATAATGTAGTTGAAAGATCGACGCGATGCACAACTCCTCCAACGGTTACTAACTTGCCCAAAACTCATAAAACTCCAACAACAAAGCGCACTAAAGATGTAATTAATGAAAAAGAAAGGTGAAAAGGGGAAGATAAACAGCTTTAGTGCGTACTTTACTTTGGAGTTAAATTACATCAATTTATAGGAGCAGAGTTTTTGAATTTCGTCACGTGGTTTATTTATTATTGTGACCGTGGGTAAGTAGAATTTAATTTTCTAATTTATCCCAATGTACGCTAACAAATCACGTGATTCCTGGCTTCCAGATGAAATGGCCATGTGAGATTGATCACGCAGTGCGATATCGGAAAAATCTTGCCGAAATAATAAATAGGAGCCTGTGCGACCTAAGATGACATTATTTTTCTCACATTCCCGGATTTTTGCGAGTCATATTCTCCAGCTGAAGTCACGCTACTATCAATAAAACAATCTTTGGATATAGAAATTTTTCAAGTAATCATTATTTCGCATATGAGATTGGAGGAAATGTATGCTAATCAAGAAGTCATTTTTATCGATTTGCAGGGGATTAACGGAATGACGAAATGCGCTTTAGAAAAAAAGCTAGAATAGAGGAATATCGTTCGAAAAAATAATTGTGTATAATAGTCTAAAGTCATAGAATGGCATAATATACCCAGGGCTAGTCCCGCACCATGTAATTTATTTTAGCTTAATGTATTGCAAATAAAAAACTAAGTGACCCGAGTAATGTAGTCAAATTTTTTTTGTTCTCGTGTGGGCAGGAATGGTATGATTCCTCTGGAATCTACATACTAATTTTTTATTGCTTGAGAGTATACATATTAATACAGGGTAATTTAGGAAATCTGGTTCGGCAAATTATTGGATAATAGGATTTCCAGCGAAGATCCATGGACTTTCATGTTTTGAGATGATCATAGAGGTCAACTGCGGAAAGAGTCTGGAAGCTCTTAATTATAAAAACCGGGTGTATTGGAGGGGTCCCAAAGGGACCAGGTGTTTCTAGTAAGAAAAAGAAATATCAAATAAAAAATTGCGCATACTTAAATCAAATTACAATCTAATAAATTAATAAAATGATTCCCCTTACAGACATCTCCCTATTTGCACTCTTCTGCGCCGTAGTAATAATCTACGAGATGATATCCCGGGAGTTATAACCATTGAGAATCTCCAAGCTATTTTTTCAGGGAATTTATTCCTATATATAATTTTTGCTGGAGTATTCATCTATTTATGCAAACAACAGACCGAGAGAAATAATAATCTTGATAGGACAATCCTGGTGCTAAATAACGAACTCCAAAAAATGCGTACTGAGAATGAATGGAGGAATGACGCCGTTTCACAAGGTGAGTCCCTATGTGATTGAATTTCCCAGGACCTAGGCTATGCATGATCTAATCCACATCTTATTCTTCCCAGCCGGCTCTAACAGATTTTCTTCCTCAAGTCGTATATCGCAATATTCTGAATATACGGACGAAATACAAATGTACTGGGTCGAGTTCACAGCCATATTTGATGAAAGAAGAAAAAGAGAGAAACGCTCTTCTACGCAGATGTACAATATACTATCTCAAGAAATCAAACTTAGTCCTGCCACATTAGCCAGCTTCTATCGTCATCAGAAAACCCCGAGAATCACATCAATGGATAAAATAATTCCATGGGTCGAAAGGGAGGGAAAAAAAAGAGTTAGTTTTGCGGATAATAATGCTAGTAGTAATAGCGGTAGTGATAATGGCGATAGTTAGGGAGTCAAAGAATAGAAGCAGTCATTGTCTTTCGGGACAGGCTTTGGGTCTGACTGTATTTTCCCATGCAACTCCACAAAAAATTATTATATTTTATATATCTAGAAATACGAAAAAAAAAAATAATATCTTTATTGTATGAATTTTACATAATAAAAATAATCTGTCTAAAAAAATCTTGGCTATTGTTT